AAAGAAAAAACTTTTAGGTCTAAAAAGAAAAAAAATCAAAATGTAGGGTCTTTTATGGAAATAACCCTTCTTTTATTGCCACAATCTATAGTTCTTCAAACCTCACACGACGAAGAAGATTGCAAATCTACTTTTATAACAAAAAATGAAACCATTTATCAAATAAGTAATTTGTGTTTGTGCGTGAGATTGAGAATGAGTTGGAGCAGTATCTAAGTTTTAACATGTGTCCTCTTCTTCTAAATCTCGCTTTCATGGACAGACTTTCCCTCCTTCAGCCTCACCTTCATATATAAATATTCATCGTTATCTCTCTTTGTTAATTCATATTTGTGTTTGGTAAGCTAAATTCCAGCTGTCTACACTAGCAATTCCATTAACTTCTCCATATTTATGCAATTCAGTTTCTTCCATCTTCATGATTTTCTCCCTTTCTTTCTCTACTTATATTCTCTCATCATGAGTTTGTTTGGAACTTTGTAGTTCGTGAATTTGCCCCAATTTTGAACACAGATCACGTAAGGTATTTCGTCTCCTTCTTAATCCTCTGTAATGTCTTCTTAATTACTATGGAATTAAACCGATTGTGAGTTCTAATTAAACAGCTTTTACCTCTGTTTTGCTATGGCTTTTAAGTTCTGATCACGATGTTGATTCTTTCATCATACATTGATTTCGATTTCTTTCTTTATATTTCAGTTATGGTTTTGGCATCTTTGTAGACTATTCCAATTCACAATCAGATCTGGATGAAATAATTGGTTATTAGAGTGAAAAAAGAAAGTAAATATAATGAAAGATTTTTTTTGTGAAGATCTGATCGTATAAAAATAAATTCTAAGAAATCTACCGTTTTGATATTCCAATTCTCTTCCAATATTTGGACATTTCTTATAACTATTCACAATGTTAATTATTTATGTATAATTTGTAATTTTGATTAATTTTCATACATCTAACAATTTCAGCATAAAACTATACCCACTATACAAAAAGACTATTCGAAGTTTCGAACCAAGTAAAAGAAGTGCTTCACATGGATGATTTAGTCGTACCCAAATGGCCAAGATGGCAACTTTTATATTCTTTTAATTTGTTTATATATAAAGTATTATAGTTTAATTAACAAGTCAAACACTTTTATAAATTTATAACCTTCACGAGAGATGGCATGCTCATCGACAACCAAATGCCTCATAAGATGGAAGCCATGATCTACTAACATTCAAAAGTCAAATATGATTTTATTAATAAAAAATATAGTGTTACAAGATTCTTTACTTAACTTCATCCATATATGCCTAGTGATGTCATTTTACTCAAACCAATACTTATTATTATTATTATTATTATTATTATTATTATTATTATTATTATTATTATTATTATTATCATCATAATCATTACATTACATTCCTTTTGCTTAAAGACTCCATGTTCTTGATGATCTTTATTTGGCATCGAGTGATTCTTTGCAAACAGACCATCATTCTTGCAAAAATATGAAAAGGTCAAATGTTGTATAGAGTATAGACATTTGTACCTTTTAATTAGTGTCTCATGATATATCTTAATTTCATTTTATATTTTTATATGATATCATATGTTCCAATTTATGTTTAATCTCATATTGTCATGAAACAAAACATGACAATATGAGACCAATTTCCATTTTCAATTTGGAGAAAATTCATTATTACGCAAAAAAAAAAAAAAAAAAAAAAAAAAAAAAAAAAA